CATACAGAAGAAATAACAATAATACATTTTCAATTTCCATATATCAAGAGATAAATGACAGACATACTAACACCCCAACATACATAGGTAAATGAAAACATGGACAAAACCACCAGAAGCCTATATACCTCAGAACCATTTATAGTTTGCCTCACCATTTTCAGTTTAATTAAAAGCTCACTTTAAGAGCCAATGAAAGCAAATATATTTGTTATAGTCTTGTTCCTACATGTTTGTTTATCACTGCTCTTTGGCTATTACAGGGATTCATGTTATTTACAGAAAGGGATTTTAAAACTTGTGGCAAACCAGTGGTGATGGTGATAGAATCATTCAATGTAACATTTCATTTTTTCAGTAAATCCTAATATTCAAAAAAGTACTGTAACAATTTTCATTTATTAACTGACGTACAATGTTATTTTCAGTGATGAAATTACTTGGGTTACTTGAATAATATAATAAATATAATACTTTCTGTAAAACAACATATGAGATGTTAAGTCTTGATTCTTCTGGCTTGTCTGACTTGCATTGATATTTCCTTTGTAGCATTTATTCATTTGTAGATTGATTTCATTTGTAGATTATTCAAATGTACTGCATGAGAATGGGTGATAGAAACCAAGACAAGTCACAGACTTCAGGAATTACATCTAGGATTAGAAACCAAATTAATCAACTTCTTTGTTTTTTTTTTTTTTTTTACTTATCAACTTCTTACACTAGAAATTTTCAGGCTTTTTTTTTCTTTTAGTGATAATATTTCTCTAACAAATTTTTTTCTCAGTGTGAAGAAAATAATTCACAGAAAGAAATTATATTCATCTGAATAACATTTTAGGATGTCTTGTGTAATGAAAAATCCAAATATATCCTTTTAATAACTTCTGTAACACTTTATAAAAAGAACAAACACAGATGCACAAGACAAATTTCTCATCATTAATTGAAGTCTTCTTTTGGCGAATTACCATTAACTCTGTGATGTAAAAGGGTCTATTCACTGCATTTCTAGTTGCTTATCTCATTATTCTCTTGGCAAATCCCAGAATGCTCGTTCTAATCAGATGGGTTCTCAGCTTCACATTACAATGTTCTTTTTGGTCAGGAACAGCTTTTTGTCTGAAATTTGCCCTTCCACGGCAATTAATTCCAAGAAATTGGTGGATCTTCTTTCCAAAAAGAGAAGTAATTCCCTCTGCTGGCTATGTGCTGCAGTTCTTCCTCATCTCTATCTTACAGATGTTGAGTTCATGCTGTTAGTTAGCAGTGATGGATTCTGACCAGTACAAGGCCATTGGCAACTCTTGCCCTATAGAGACTACACTAGCAGCAGGGTGAGTTCCTTGCACATGGCTGGAGTTTAGCTGGTGGGAATGGCTGATGCTTTGATACACACAATGTTTATATGTTGTTTATGTTTCTGTGGAGGAGGATCAGAAGAAAACAAACTAGTCCTGAGTTCTGATAAGGTAGCAGGGAGGAAGGGATGGCATAGCAGAGAGATAAAACCTAAAGAATTCAAAGGTGAAGAGGGTCACATAGCGTTAGGGCTAGGGGGCACTAAATAACTAGGGGGAAGTGGCCTATAGAATTACATGTAACCATATATGGTTAAACCTTGTGGTTTTCTTTTTTTTTTAATTGCTTCGGTAATCTGCTTGTAAGGGTACATAAGGTGACACCCTCTTTGTTCTTAGGCTCAGCCTTTGGACATGAGTTGCTTCTGCTAAGTGTTCCTCAGTGTCTCATATCTCAGCTAGCAACCTCCTGCAACAATACTGGTATAGGATTTAGTGATATTCACTATTGTTGGTTTTATTAAACTCAGCACCACTTCAGGAATTCTTTTCCTACACCGTGTTGAATAGTTTTTTTCTCTTCATTTCAACTAGTGCATGTTAACTGTGCAAAACAGGATTTCATAATTGTATTCTCTGAATTGCTGGTTATATTGAGGTTTTAGACCAATTTTCTGGATGCAAGAACATTTTCATTTCTGAAATCTACTTAGTGTTTACTTCATTTTAGTTATGGATACTTCAATAAATTTTCCAAAAGCAAATACTATTTATTTCTAGAGCTCAGACAACTACAGGATTTTGTTATTTATTTTTAAATTTTTTCCTGTTTCTCCTACAGAACATATTTTCAAGCTATGCTTGCAAATTTAATACAGAATAATAGTCTAGTAGAATAATTTACTATGTAAATATTTATATTACTGAAATTACACTGCCGTGCTCAGACAACAGAGATTAGTGAGCCTGGTTTTCCTTGGTACCATTCTTTGAAATTATTTGACAAAGGCCAATGACACGTCCATAGAGCTATCTTCTGAAGGACTGACATTATGAATAGATAATTGCTTTTGATGATTATGTTTTGGGCACTAGTGACACCAGGGATGCTGTGACACCAGGGATGACTAATATTGAAGATGTTTTTGTATTTTGTTTTCTTCATTTGTTTTCTTGATGTCCTTCACTCTACCTTGAGTCTCTCTTGTCCACTACTAGAAAAAGCCTTTTTTCTATTGAAATAGATTCATTTGTGATATAAATTACATTAACCAACTCCCATCAACATATTTTTACCTAAACTCTTGCATTGACAGGAAGTGAATTGAAATTCCAATCCTGTCTAATACACAGTAACCTGAAAAAATGAGACATCCCTGGAGACAGGAAAGCAATTTAAGAAAAAAAAAATTGAACTTGGAAAGAAGTGAGAAGAAAGTACCTACATATGGCTCTATTGTCTCCAAATAAGACTAAGAGAAATACGAATCCTTTTGGGAAGACAATAAACTACTTTATTCAGTATTAAGTTAGTTTAGAGAAAAATGATTTGCAATAAATTAGGACTAAAGTTTGCCTCACTATTTCCTGCAGGTGTACATCTGATATTTTTGTGTTGGAAACCTCATACACAAATGAGAATGAAATATTTAAAATTAATACTTGACTAAGAATCACTTTTCTCAAACTTAAAAATGCGCTAGTGTTATGGAATTTCATCTCATGAGTATTCAACCTTTGAAAAAGGCCACAGAAAATGTTCATAAAAATAAATATGAGAGGAAAACAAAATACCTACCTAAAAGCCATGACTTTGTACTCTAAGTGAGTTTTCAAAAGTAAAATGAAAGTACTTGGAATAGTAGATCTCAGAAATTGTTACATTCCTTTTCAGATACAGAATTTGTGGTCATTACATCAACCATGCTAAGACTCATGATGTTCAGCTAATTATATATGATCATTGTACATTTTCTTGATAGAATAATGAACAGTATTCATTTAAATATCACATAGAAAGTTGTGCTTGTGTGTGCAGTGCAATGATTCACATAGTATAAAGTAACACTCAGAAGACTGCCAACCCAGGGCTGGCATTTTGTGCAATTTCAGGGGGCAACAATTGAATTTTCATTGTGCTGATTCATGTACAATGCAATGTAACTTGAATTCAATTTTTATTAACACCAATATTAATAATGCCCAAGGGACAGTTCACATAAATTAAAAAAGTTTTTTAAAGGTAAAATCTGTTTTATCGCTCTTCATTCAGAGATGTTTTATGAGCGGTTTCTATGGATTCTACCTAACCTATTGTCTATGACATGCTAGAAATTCATTCACCATATCAATTTACTTCAAAGAAATTCTTGCCTATCATAAATTATGGTTGTATTAGTTCACACACATACAGACAGTTTACAAAAACTATATACAAGCCAAATGGCCACTGAAAAATAGATGAAATAAGGTATTATAATATAGGAGAGTGCCTTGCTTCTAATCATAATACACAAAATAGCACAAGTATATTTTTTTCTGACCACATTTTAAATTTAAAAATTAAAAATCCAATGTTATAGCCAACTAATTCTTTGCATTATGCTATTTGTTACCTTTAATAAGCAAAATACCTTTAATACTTATGTTGTGACTGTTTCTGGCATGATATTTATGTGTCTGTGTCTAAGTGTGTTGGTATGTATGTTTTTTTTTTGCTTTATGACATTTAAAAATGTTATTCAGTCTTTGGTGAAGTGGCTGCTGGTAGACTGATATCATTACATTCGTGCTAATGTGATGTAAGTTGGGGCATTTATCAGACAGGAATGGAGAAAAATATTCTGCATTTCTTCATCAGCTCCCTACTCTACTTGTATGAAATACTGGATGTTAAATCATATTGTTCTCAGAGCCATCACTTAGTCCTGAGAGACCAAAATTTCCACACACAGGGACCAGGTAAAGAGATGGTTATAATCTGGGTCAGTAATGAGAGAGTGCTGAACACTGCAGATGTTGCTGAATCCTGTAAAGAAGTGAGTAATTCTGGATCAGGTAATGAAATTATTTACTGTTCTTTTCATTTATATTATGTAATACTTTATTATTTTAAAACTAAAACCACGATATGAATCCAAATGAGACTATGAAATTTAATCCAAATACTTGCTTTAGTTATTGTACTTTTGGGTATTTTAATATTTATAACTAGAAAATATGGAACAGATAAACACTAACATAGCTTATCTATATGGTCAGAAATCATTTACCACTTCTATCACTTAATTGTAGTTTCAATGGTTTTAAAATGTTTTCATATTGACACCCAAATCATTACTTTTAAGATCTATTTATTGGGAGAAATTTTTAAATGAATTTATGCCAAAAGTGACTACCTATACACTGATCTCTAATTTTTTTCACATTTTATCCTTTTTAGTTCATTGACATTCAATTCCACTTTTCTTATATCTCCACTTCATAGGGCCATTCTTGAAACAATAGATCCTTTTTGAGTAGAATACATCAGTGGGCCCTATAATTCAGTTGTCTTCCCTAGGACTACAAACTCTTTTTTAACCAAAAGTTAGAGAACTTACTGGTATAAATATAGGGACCAAGAAAACATTGAAACTCTATAAAAATGTTGGGAGAGTTGGAATGAGTTCAGTTCAGAAGCAATGTCTCTGGGCTATGGAAAGGAGTACATGAGAGCTTTGTATCATGTGTTATCTACATCTGATTTGCTGTGACAAGATCAATGGATACTGGTTGATGAGAACAGGAAATCACATGAAGCATATCATAATCCTTTTCTAGCCTTTCTGCCATCTGTTCTACTAACATCTATGAAATGCAGTGTAAATTTTTCTTCAGAATCCTGACAACAACATTAACTTTTGAAGGTCCATGTCATGATCTCTGCAAATTGTTGTCTAATTGCTCAGGCTTACAACTTATGCAGACTCTTCTACCTCTGCCTCCAGGAGCCACAAACCTTCTTACTCTATTGGATCTTTAACATAGTTGTCCATAGTCTAGTGACAATGGGATGCAAGTCTAATATTGAAGCTGGATAGGATCTTGTCAGTTAAGAGGAAAATATAAGAAGGCCACCTGTGAGAATATCTCTTTCACTGCTCTGTCTGCTCCACAATTTTAGATGAGGTCTGGAGGCTAGGTATTCATTACCTGCAGTTCTGACTTAACTATCCTTGTCTCCTGAAGGGAGCAAGAACATTTCTACAAAACTGAAAGCATCACATATCTTTCTGTAATTGCGTGGACCAACTATTTGTAACATCTATCACTTTTATTTTTGGAGATATTAAATTCCATTTTTTCAAGTTTAAAAATACATTTGCATTTAAAAATATATATGAAATATCTCATTCTGGAGATAAGAAGTCACACAAGGTCTACGAAGTTATTAGAATTAGCGTCCTAGTCCGAGGATATGTAGGAGGCTAGGAGGGTCAAGGCACATGTGTTGCTCTCCATGGTGCTGATATTCTTTTTGCAAAATGATTCCTTCAACTCCTATGATTTACTAACTGCTTTAAAATTTTCCAATTGCTTACATTTCCTCTGTCTTATTTTTATATTTTGTTATGATATAAACTTGAATCTCATTTTCCATAAAAAAATTGAACTTGATTTATAATTCAATGTATGGAATTAATTTTAAAAATTAGCCAATTCTAACTCATATGCCATATTTAACTACTTACAATAACACACACACATTTTATTTTTTATGATTTACTCACTTTTTCATAATGTGATGATAGTATAATAATCTGAATAAAAAAATAATGTTGGGGCATGTAAACTTTTCTGCACAATTCCTCCTAGTGACCTCTGAAAATGCCAAAATTTCCCTGAGGGGAAATCACTCTGCTCTGAAATCCTACCTTAGTCTGGCAGTTTCAAAAATATTATCATATTAACATTGAATCACTTACCAAACTCAAATAAAAATAAATTTTCTGGATGTTAAGTAATAGAAGCTACAGACCAGCATTTTTTTTGCCTTTAGATTTGTAGAAGTCCAATCATAACTAAGCTACTATTTTATTAACTTAAATAAGGAGAAACAAAATTGTTTTGAATGCAGACATGATCCTTTCTTTTCTATAAAACACAGCTATAAATTAAATACCATAGATGAAGGTCTATAGTCTTCGTTCATATCTTCATCATTACCCTGTAACATTGGGGAATTTCATCCATAAATTCATCTTCCTCCAGACAGTACGAGCAAAACCAAGTCATGTTCAGCTTGAAGATATTAACTTATTTTTAAAAATTTTTATTATTCATTTATTCACATGTGCATACACTGGGTCACATTAACTTCTTAATCTATTAGAAAGAGACACTGAAATTAATTAAAATACTACATTGCATTTATGGAAAGCTTGATTTAATTTAGATGATGTGTACTATAATCTCTGTATCAACGTCCATATACATGTTGTATAACATTATCATCTTATTGACTTTTAGTTAGGTGTGTTTCTAGTAGAATCAGCTTAAATTTCAGCAATTATAGCATTATCCTGTTTTAAATTTGTGCAACAAAGACCACCAGTTGAAGTATGAACACATATGGTTATGATGAATCTTCACTTCATTTCCTTTTTCCCACCCAGGGATTTCCAGATCTGAGAGATGACAGTTGAGAATTATACTGTCTTTACTGACTTTGTATTCTTAGGACTTTCTGAAAGACAGGATGTGCAACAGGGGCTCTTTGTGGTTTTCCTACTTGTTTATGGTATAACTTTGATTGCCAATCTTGGGATGATTCTGCTGATCTACATGGACACCAGACTTCACATACCTATGTACTATTTCCTGAGTAATTTATCCTTCTGTGATGTCTGCTATTCCTCCACTGTTTCTCCCAAGATGTTGGCTGATTTCTTATCTGAGCAAAAGAGAATTCCATATAATTTATGTGCCATTCAAATGTACTTTTTTGTAGCATTTGTAGACATAGCATGTCTCATGTTGGCTGTCATGGCCTATGATCGTTATGTGGCCCTTTGCAATCCTCTTCTTTATACAATTACAATGTCCCAGAGGATCTGTATCCAGCTAGTGGCTGCTGCCTATATTTTAGGCTTGGTGGATTCAGCAATTCACACCTCCTTCACATTTCAATTGTCCTTCTGCAAGTCAAATATCATCAATCACTTTTTTTGTGACATCCCTCCCTTGCTAGCCCTATCCTGCTCAGGTACATCCATCAATGAGATAGTGATGTTCACTTTTGGTGTCTTTATTTTGGGGTGCAGTATTCTCACTGTCCTCCTCTCCTATAGCTACATCCTAGTTACTATCTTTAGGATGAACTCAGCAGAGGGCAGGCACAAAGCCTTCTCTACATGTGGTTCCCACCTAACAGCTGTGGCCATATTTCATGGTACACTCCTGTTCATGTATTTCCGTCCCAGCTCTAGTTATTCAATGGACACAGACAAGATGTCCTCTGTTTTCTACACAGTTGTGATCCCTATGTTAAACCCACTTATCTATAGCTTAAGAAATAAGGATGTGAAGGGTGCTCTGAGAAAAGCAATCAGCAACAAATTCTGCTTTTGGTAAAACTTTGTTTTCCATTCAAAACTTCTTGAATATTCTGAGAATATGTTCTGGTATGTTGATATTGGTCATCACCCAAACAACCTTCATGATATTTTCCATTCTTTTTGAGTGCACACAATTTAAGTATAAGGCTCAGCAATTACTGGCTTTGCCTTCTCTCTAAAGAAGAATGTTTAGGGTGCTCTGGAAAAATTCATGAGCACTAAATTTTGTTCTAGGTGAAAGCATGGTTTTTATCCCAAATGATTGAGATTCTGGGAGTAAAGTTCAAGTATTTTCACATAGATTCTCACCAATGAAACTTTGAAGGAATTTTCCACTTCTTACTTTGTTACCTGAGTTGAATACAAGGAGTAGTAATTATTGATATTCATCTTGTCCCAAAACAGAAGAGTCTTTTATCCCTCCCTTCTTCACAGATAATCAAGGTCTCGATGACATGTCATAAGGTATAGCATCTCTTCTTGTAAGACAATCAACCTCTTCTTTGTAAATTAATAAAAACTAATGTAACAAGTATAGTTACTGATTCAAAAGATAACTTTAGAGAGTAAGATTAGATCTTGTTATATTTTTTCTATATATTATTCTTAAATTTCCATCATAACATAAGTAAATAAGTAGTTAATAAATAAATAAGGATGAACAAATTTTCAATTTAAGACTCAAAATTCATAAAAACAATGAGCTTGCCTCTTTCTTTCATTGCTCTGCTTTGCTATTTACTATGTTGTGCGGCAGGATCCATTCAAAAAATTATTAAATGAGCAAAGTGTTGTTCCCAGCAAACCAGTGCAAAAAGGACCATTAAAAATTTAACAGAAAAAATATATCCTATCTCCCTTCCTTTCATTTTACTGCACTGTGTTCTCTTTATAAGAGATCTAATTCCAGCTCTTGACTTTACACTATGATGAAATCTGGTATGAGGAATAGTGTCAGTGGAAGGAAAGAAGTTTCATACTAAGATTCTGAAATCCTCATCAGTTCTTCAAGGCACCTCACACAGTGCTCATGTACTTTCTTCTTGCCTTCACTCTGGAAGACACATAGGTTGCTATTGACAACTGGACCACAACTGTGCAACAGAAGCAGATAGAGAAAGTCTCTGGAAAGAGGGTCAGTCTCCCTCAATGAGCTCATAGCACAATTCTATAATATTATGAATATTAGTTTAAATTTTAAAAACTGAAATGCTCAATTGCTACAGATAAATTTATTTTGTATATTCTTGCATATGAAAAATGTGCATATTGTATAAAAATGATTCTCAACCAAATATTAATAGTGGTCATCTCTGAGTGGTTGTATGTTAGATGATGTCATAGTATATTCTAAGGTCAATGTAGTTAATCATGTGTTTCAGCATGTAAGAACTGAATAATGAATCCTATCATTAAAATGTAACCCATTTTCACCTTTTCATGTGTATTCATTTTGTTTTCAGAACATGCATGGTTGCACAGTTTTCCATTTAAATCCTCTTCCTGAATTTCATATATCTTCAGCTGCGAAATGTGCTAAAGATTATATTCTTCCAAATATCATAAGAACAAACCAATTTTAAAAAGGATGAAATTTTAGCAGGATATTTTTGTTGCATTTTAAATTTAAAAGTGTTTGTAAGAAATAAATATTTCCCTGTCTTTTCAGTATTTGTTCTCTCTAATTTGAAATGACATACTTGTTCATAAAATGCAAATCATAGGATTTTAGTCACTGTTGATTATCTACCCAAATTAAGATATTTATTAACATTAATTACATTGATACTATCCATTCAGTGTACTTGTCCAAATAAATTTTCTATATGCATGCTTTTAATATTAAAAATTGCATTTATTTATCAGAAACTAAACATATTTGTAATTAAAATTGCCTCACCTTCCACATATATGTTCTTTAGTTTTTCTTTAAGACACTAATTTAATACCTTTTATTCTTGTGCAGGAATCCATGGTTTGGAGGATTACTTTGTTTTGTTTTCATTTTAAGAAAATTATAAAGATCAGAGAGATTTTAGAAAAAGGATTAGGACTTAGAAGTGAGGCAGACATGTCTATGAATTTATGTCATAATAAACTATGAGCTATGTGACATACTGAAGTCTCAAGGTGATATTGTTTTCCTGTTCAACAGAATTTAATATAATCATTTTAAGATTATATCTATACATCTCTATCACTAACATGATATATGTGATATTGGTTATTAGAGTCCTGTGATCACACTCAACTGACTCCTAGGGACTTATTTCTTACTGAGAAATGAAGGGATGTTTCAGTTCATAACACTATATGAAACAGTCTCCAGGCTCTTGTTCCTGTCCTCAATGGAGCCTGCTGATCTAGCTTGTCAGACAACACTTGCAGGTTCTTGCCAAGGATATGTCTGTCTATCTCTGGATTTTTTGTCCTGTCTCTGCCTTCACCTTGGTTGTAAACCTGAGTTCAGTAGAGACTTCTTCATGGCTACCTGTGCTGGAACACCACTCCTCAACTCATGCCAGGTGGTGAAACTACACTATTGAACTAAGTCCCAGACCCCACATTTCCAGGAAGTGAGTTTAGATAATTAATTCAACAGTGCCTCATTTTTTATTATCCTCAGTGGTACTGTGCCAAGGCTCATGGCTGAAATAGCATAATTAGCTACAAAGAATCAACATCTATTTTGGTGAATGTGCACATATATTTCCTGCTTCCTATTCAGGCTAAAGTACTTCATTTTGATCAATCCCAAGACACCGTTTCTGTTTTCATCTTGAATTATTTCATTGGCTGTGGCGCTATTATACTGTTGTTCTCTATAAAAAACATCATTTTAAGGGTCTTTATTGGCATATATTACTTTATGGAGGTATTTATTGTATCCCCTCCATATTGATTGCTCAAAGGACTTTTGTCATAATATTTCACACATGAATATATTGTACTTTATTCAGTTTAACCCCTCTATTACTCTCTTTCACTGCCCCCCCACAACCTAAATATTCAACAGCTTTCCATCTATTTCATTAAACCATCTTCTTAGTAATGCAGTGTATTTTGATATTATCTATTCTCTACCCTCTCTTGTCTTCTTCTAGCTCTTCCTACTCCTCTCAAGCAGCTCCAGTATTCCAAAAAAGTATACATTTATATAGACATTTATCTTATAGGTCTATCTCCCAATTATGAGAGAAACATGTGACCTTTTTCTTCTGAACCTGCCTTTCTTCTTGTAGCATGATGATCAGTTTCATCAACTTACCTGCAAATGTCATTTGTGTTTTATGGCTGAAAAATACTATATTGAGTCAACACACCATATATTCTTAATTTATCAAGACAGCATCTGGGCTTTTTCCATAGCTTGTCTATTGTGACTAGTGAACTAGTAAACATGGGTGTGCAAATATCTATACGGTATCCTGATTTACATTCCTTTGAATATATACCAGGATCTGATATCACTGGATCAAATGATAGGTCCGTTTTTAGTTTTCTAAGGAAACTCCATACTGTTTTCCATAGGGTTTTCACTAATTTACATTCACAAAAACAGTGTACAAAGGTTCCTTCTTTCCTCCTGCACCTTTGCCAGCATTTATTGTTTGTGCTGTTAATAAGAGCTATTTTGACTCGAATGAGGTAAAAATTCATTTTGATTTGTATTTTCTTTATGGCTAAGGATGTTGAACATTTCTTGTGGTCCAGAATATTGGGCATTTCTTCATTTATTTAAAATATATATGACCTTCTTGTTTTGAGAATTGCCTGTTCAGTGAATTTGCCTACTTACTGTTGCTTATTCTTTTGGAGTTTAGTTTTTTGAGGTACCTATATATTCTTGTTATTAATCCCTTGTCAAATGTAAAACTGGAGAGAGAGAGAGAGAGAGAGAGAGAGAGAGAAACAGGGAGAGATAGAGGGAATATGTTATATTCAGAAACTGGAGGGGGTGTCAGAAAAAATACAGGTGTTAGTATTTGAGGAATACTTTTAGAATGAGTAGGATTTGGACCGGTAAACTATAATCTTACATAGTTATATGGAAATCAATTTTATTGATAAAAAAGTCTTTCTGAATTACAATGATTGTCTTTGACAGACAGACAGGGGGGTATGCTGTGTCCATGACATCCATTACTGAGAGTAAGTCTAAAAGACACATAAAGAATAAAGAGAAAAATTAACTAAGGTTATTAGACATCAGAGAATAAGTGAAAGGTAACTGTTCCCCTGATGTAAATGCTTAATATAGTATTTACTTTAAAAAATAACAAAAAAATTGCCGCAATATAAATGATCTGTGAAGATCTTAACACTAGTGTTAAGCTCTGGCCCTATTCTGTGATGGGGCCTTATTATCCATAGGTAATCTTAGAGAGTATCTATATTAAATTGACTTTTATAACAATAAGGGATAACTCAAATATTAGATATTGTTGAAATGATCAGATTCATTTCATCTTATGCTGAGAAACAAATTTTAGCTAAACATTTATCAATAGGCATTTTTGACACCCTTCTTATTTGAGTTATATATTAGGAGATTCAGCATAGCATTAATTAGGGTAGCAGACACTGAAGTCACTTTAATAATATTGATAGAGTGATCTGTTTTGGGGCATAGATAACTGAAGACCAGTGTGCCGCAATAAATAGGAATCACAAGTATAGAACTGTTTTTTTCTTTCCTCTTCAGAACCTATTCTGAGGAAGTTGCTATAATACAGACATAAAAGAGGACCAACATCGCAGAGGAAATTTCCACCAATACTCATGAAAATAATTACAATGATGTCAGCATTTAAGTGTCAGCAGGACAGAGAGGATCAGAGAGATTTCACAAAGTTGTGGCAAATGTTTTAGGAGCAGAATGCTAGATGGAAAATATTAATTATGTGAAAAATTGACTCAGCAATTCCCTCCACACACATATGTAATACTGCATGTGCAAACTGGCAACAAATCATCTTGCACATAATAATGGTGTAAAGCACTAGGTTGCATAAG